TCCCGCGGCTTTATTTAACTTCAACAGTTCGATCTCACGTTCGACTTCTGGGCGAGAGGGTGGATCCAAAGTGACAGCCCAGGAAGCGGGGCGATCACTGGCCGGCGAGAAACCTAACCATTCCGACCGATTAAATCGCACTTCAAACTGCTCAGCCCAACGCTCCAAGCGTTTTGATAAGTTGTGGATAGGCTGTCCACTCTCGTCACGTATAGCTTCACTGACACCAGGTCTCCTGCTGCCCGTTTCCCGTATCAGACGGAATAACGGGTTACGGGTTTCGTCGGGGTCGTGGCTGCATCGACCACATCTTCACCTTGCGTCAGTTGTTGGAGCACCGTCAAACATATTGACGGCCCACCGTTGTCGTGTTCCTCGACATCAAAGGTGCCTTCGATTCGGTTGATCGATGTGCCCTTTGGAATTGTTTACTCAGGAAAGGTGTGCCCGAGAAATATGTAAATATTATCCAAGCATTATATGCGCGTAACACGGGCAGAGTGAGGGCTTACGGCAGCCTGTCGCCACCCTTTAATATCTCCAGTGGTGTGAGACAAGGATGCCCGCTGTCACCTTTCCTCTTCAACTTCGCTGTTGACGAAGTCATGGAGTTTGCATTTACAGGACATGACTTGGAAGGTGTGGAGCTACTCCCAGGAGAACGATTTCTTGACTTGGAGTATGCAGACGACATTGCCCTCATCTGTGACAGCTCGCAGACGAGCCAAGCCGCGCTGGACAGATTAGCACTGGCTGTCAGCCGCTTCGGGCTTTGCTTTGCACCATCGAAGTGCAAAGCGTTCCTCCATGATTGGCAGGGATCGCCTAAAGCGCTGACCCTTGGTGGGGATCAGCTAGAAGTCGTTCAGAAATTCAATTACCTGGGAAGTTGTAGCAGCGCCCTTGGGATCGAAGGCGAGATCACGAACCGTATAGCGAAAGCTCGAAGTGCTTTTGCTAACCTTCGCCACCTATGGCGGCGGCGCGGCATTACTCTCGCCCTCAACGGTAGAGTGTACAATGCAGCGGTACGTTCGACCTTACTGTACAGTTGCGAAACCTGGCCCCTAAGGTCGGCGGACATGAAGAGGCTAGTTACGTTCGACCATCGGTGCCTTCGCAGTTTGGCTCACATCTGGTGGGAACACCGCGTGAGTAACGAGCGTGTTCGACGCATTGTTTACGGCCCAGGAAAAGGATCTGAACCGCTCAGCACCGTTATTTCACGCACCAGGCTCCGATGGCTCGGCCACGTGTTACGCATGCCAGCCCACCGACTCCCTCGACGTGCCTTGTTTGCTCACCGGGGGTGTGGGTGGAAGAAGAGGAGAGGTGGCCAAGTGATGACTTGGTCCAGGGGAATGAAGTCCCTCACTTCGGAGCTAGCCTCGGTTGGAGCGTCACGGCTCGCTGGTTGGGGTTCAAAAGACGATGGACACGTTTGGCTGGATACACTTGCTGACATGGCAAGGAGCCGACCTCAGTGGCATTTGTGCTGTGAGTTTCGTTGTCCCTCCCCATCCCTTTTAGCCTCTTCCTCCATCTACGATCTCATTTCCTAGGGTAAAACACAACTAAAATATTTCTCTTTCTGCCTAGTAGCTGGCTGGAAGCTTACCGGAACGATGTCTATCCGTTGCTGGTAGCTCAGCTGGCATGCAACTGTTGCATCTATTTTTCCTTTGTGTATTGTATTATATGTATGTATGTATTTCCTTCATGTATTGCGGCACAATAGCGGAGGTGTTTTTCCACCTACAGCTGATGTGTATAATGAATGATGATGTTACCAAGGGCAACGGCCATTTCCATCTCTGATGCACGATCGGACCACCAGGATTCGCGGTCTCTCTTACGGCTAGCACGGAGTTTTGCCCGGAGCTCTTTGCGAGTTTCATTGTAGTCGCTTCCAGCCGGAATATACCGGCGAGCATCTATAAGTTCCAGAGACTGTGAAGAGACCGAATGTCCATGTTGATGATTAGACATACCACATAAGGATTTACCTGCTGCTAGTAAGGTCTGGTGAATATAAGACCAGTGACCTTCAATAGCATCCAGTGAGCGCTTATTCAACTCGCATGACAGCGTACTTCAATACGCATACAGTACAGCTGGCTTCGCCAGTTGGCTGGTGTCAATGCGCTCACAGCGTCGTTGTGGGCGTCCGCCAAAACGCATCCGCAGGTCAGCACATACAAGTGCATGGTCGGTGTCCACACCTGTGCTCCAAATCGAGCGACAGTTCTGGACGCAGCCTCTCCATCGGTAACTTATCGCAATGTGATCGATTTGCGTCTAAGGCTGGTGCGCGCCAAGTCACCCTCCGGCAGGTGTTGTGTCGGAAATTAGTGCTCGCAAGAAATAAGCGAGCACCCTCATACAAATGAAGTAACCGCTCGCCGTTATCATTACGGGAGCCTACACCATGTTGGCCGCCCAGATGGAGCTCATCTGTGGATAATTTTCCAACTTGAGCGTTCAGATCCCCAGCCAGCACAACAGTGTCCGAGCTTCTTCTGTGGCGAAGGAGCTCGTTCAGTTGACGATAGAAGTCGTCCTTTACCGAGGCATCGCTACAGTTTGTCGGTGTATATGCAGCGATAACAAATAGACAGCCTTTAGACTGACATTGGGAGGATGCTACAAGTTTTAAGTTAATGAAATTATGGCGAGCTTTGGTAATTCGTTGCAAAATTTAATCTCTAACACCGCCACCAGATGTGATGCATCTCAAAATACGTGTAGCTATGATTCGTAGTGGTGAGCACATGCACAGGCGTTCTCCAACCCTGAAGCATATATTTGAAGAATAATGCAGAAGCAGTACGCCTTTACGCAGTATCGAAGTTTGGCTTCCGCACAACCGGTCGTAGGCTTGAACCCGAGCCATCGGATTACAAGACAGGCTTGTGATCCTTAAGGTTACAGGCCGGCGGAAGAAAATGCAGCTAGCAACTAAGGCAGTAAGAAACAGACGCATACTAACCTGTACCAGACACAAAACATCCAGTATCGGAAAACCATGGCACAATAAACGCTAAGTGCGTAGTAAGCATCGACACCGAAGGCACTCTTCTTACTTGGAAAAAGTACCAAATCTGCCAGTAACATTGCTACCCTGTTTTCGGCAGAGTAGGACAGTTTACTTGATGACGATGCGACGAAAGCCAGTCTACTGGCCCTGTTTACACTGCGCCAATCCACCCGTCTTCGTTGCAGCACATAGAAATGAGTGTGGCTGATGTTACCAAAGGTCTTCGTGAATCAAATCCGAACTCCTCGCCAAGTCCATATGAGCTGCACCCGCTGTTCCTCAAAACTGTTTTTCAAGACGGCTACTCCCGTTTGCCAGATATTTCGTTACTCCCTGGAAGCTGGACGATTTTCGGTTGCTTGGAAATTGGGGACTGTTAAACTTATATACAAGGGAGGGGATCGTCAAAATTCTGCAAGCCATCGACCTATCTGCCCAACGTCCGTACAGTGCAAGTTAATGAGAAAGATTCTCAAGCGCGCCCTGTAGCTTCACTTCGAGAACTTAAACATCAACTCTTGTTCAGCATGGCTTTCGGCGGGCACGCTTATGTATCTCGAACCTGCTTGTTGCTAGGGAGGACAGGCGAGGTCCTTAGACGCTGGAAAACGCCTGGATGTGATTTTTGTAGACTTCAACAAGGCGTTTGACAAGGTCTCTCATGAAATGCTCCTTAAACTCCGAGATGCCGGTGTCTCTGGGAATGTCCTTACTTGGACCGTTGATCTTTTGGATGACCGGACTATGTGAGTCAAGGTGAATGAAGTCTACTTCGCTCCTGGGCTCATGACCAGCGGTGTTCCGCAAGGGTCGGTACTTGGTCCAGAACTGTTCAAGATATTCATCAATGACCCCACATCGGAACTTCAAATGAATCCATTTGAAGTTCCGATGGGGGGTCATTGATTACGCCATTGACATGAAGCTGTGGACGGATGTATGCTGTCGCGAAGCTGCTGACAGATTGCACGACTGGTCAGTCAACTGGCAATGACCCATAAATCGTGCAAAATGCAGTTATTCCCGTAGGCGCCACTGAACAATTCGGGATATCCTATATTGGTAGGGTTTTCCTCAGAACCATCATTCTTGAGAAAGACCTCGGTGTGCTTGTCTCACATGATTTACGGACCACAGTAGACACACTGCGAAGGGTTGCCGCTGCCAACAGGACGTCGCATGCCATACGGAGAGCTTTCTCATGACTGACTCCGGAAATCTTCAGAATCCTGATTACTTCCCATGTGCGCCGGGTCCTTGAGTACGGACTACTCGCTACTTGTCCTCTTACCACGTTCGAGTGTGACATAATCGAGAAGGTTCAGCGGCGTGCTTCGAAATGCATACTCAAGTTAAGGGACTTGCCTTAACCTCTGCGACTCCAGCGTATGCACCTGTTCTCCCTGGATTATCGTCGACGTAGAGGTGATCTGATTGTTACTAGGCGAATTCTGATGGGGGAGATGGGGATAAAGCCACAAAGGTTCTTTCAAATACACATTAAGTTTCACGCGGGAGCACAATTGGAAACTATTTAAACCTAGAAGACGCAGTTCGCTCCACTCGCTCTAGCTTGCATTGTAAATGATTGGAACGACTTGCCGTAACATGTGGTCGACGCGCAGACTGAGGAATGTTTCAAGAGATATTTGAATTCTCACTTAATGAGTAAGGTGGGACGTTGCATCTTCCAATGCAGCTGTTACGGAACCGAGTGGAATATGGTCTTGTAGCGAATCACGGCATCCACGCAATGAGCAGGAAGTGAAGGAGCTGACAAAGGGCTTTCCTCCGGCTCTCTACAATCCAATGATCCAATGATAAGACAAACGGAGGATAGTACCGCCAGACATAGGCTAAATAAAAGGCGCACTTTCCCACTCCCTCAGCCAAATTAGCATTCAAAGCGCAAAAAATACGTATTAAACATTTCGTATACAACTTAACTAAGTGTCGTACTTACAGGTAGGAAAACAGAACTGGTAGCACGTGGATAAAGCATGACACAAGTTTTTGGAAGTCGTGCAACACCAAAGCATTTCGGTACACGAAGACTCCGGAATAAGCATGCGAGTTGGCTAGACCAAACTGTATCATTTGAATTGTATGGCAGGTTGGGACGCCCCTGGGATATAACCTGATTACCGAGGAAGACTTACCAGACGAAAACCAAAGAAAGAATATTTATAATATAGCACATATCTAAAATGAACAGCAGATAGTTCGCTTTTCTACAGTCCGAAATTATTAATAAGGACTACTTGCCGATAGTGTATGGTCCTCACAACCATTGAGAAGAGGAAAACCACGGAGAACATGTACAAAATGGCGGAAGGTAACACAGCATAGAAGTAAAAGGAGAAGCAAATGCACACAAAAGAACCAACAAAGCATAACTTTTCGCCAATTCGTTGCAGCTGTAAAGATATAGATTTCCGCGCAGTTGTAGATGCCCCAAATCCCAAGGTCATGACGGAGTATGCAACTCGGCCTCCAAATAGGCCGAAAGTATGACGTGCGTCGGTACAGCAAGCATAAGCCTGTCGCTTATGAGCAATTGAGTTAATCAAATTAAAAAAATGGCAAGTGTTTTAACTAAACATGCGTATGTATATGTTAATAGATTTGAATAATAATGCACCTACGATGTTAACTTTCATTTCACGGGTTTCACGGGTTTGCGCAGAACGAGTAAGCGTAGCTTTTCGGTGGTTCTGCCTCGGGATCTTACGGCAAGGTCCTGATCTCGTCGGTAGGTACCAGAGGTTGTGGGTCTCGACGCAGTAGTGGTGTTCAGCACAAGTATTCAGCGAGTTGACTGTGGGAACGTGGATACCTGGAAGAGTGGTGTAGGTAAATTCGGCAAAGTTGGATAGAAGCAAAATGATAGAAGCGCCGCATGTTAGCTTGGCAAATGGCCAGATCTTAGCAACGTGGAAGACCAGCGAGGTAAGAGCCAAGCGTCTAGGCGCTGTTTGAAGGCCTCCGTATTGGGCGCTATGACAACAACTTCAGGGAGGGCGTCCCAAGCGAAGGCAATACGCACACTGAAACTGTTGCTTCGGCACAGAAGGCGAATGCTACGGGTCATCAGTTTGAGTGAGTGCCCTCGAAGATTATCTGTACGGGCGCGGACCAGCAATCCTGCGTTTGGGTGCCTGTTATTAGTCAGGACGGAATAAGCTAAGATAAGGTCGCCACGAAGCCTGCGATATTTCAACGGGAAGAGGTTAAGGGCCGCCAGACGCTCCTCATACGAGAGGTGGGATAGTCCGTCCACTGTCTTAGTGGCTCTGCACTGTACAGTTTCCAGCATGGCCTCGTCCTTCTTCAGGTACGGCGGCTGGACATGTATGTTGTACTCCAGCAGCGGACGTACTAAAGCGCTATAGAGACGGACAAATGTCTCTCTAGGGAAAGAGCCTAGTGCACGCCCAAGGAGGGCCAGGCGAACGCTAGCCTTTCGCGCCAGTGTAGCTACGTTGGCGCTCGGGCTCAGGTCGGCGGATATTATGGTCCCCAGGTCGCGTTCCTGGGATGTGGCTTTAAGATGCACACCGCCGATATTGTACGGATTAGCCGCACCCTGCCCAATGTGCATGACTTTGCACTTGTCGATGTTAAACGGGAGCGAGTTTTTCGAGGCCCAAGAATAAGCAGCATCGATATCAGTCTGGAGAAGTGCCTGATCACTTGGCCTGCGGATAGGTCGCCATATCTTAGCGTCGTCCGCATAAAGCAGTATGTGGCTGCTGATACAGGATGGGAGGTCGTTGATGAAAAAATTGAACAGCAGAGGCCCGAGAATGGATCCATGGGGCACCCCGGTCGTTGCAGCCAGAGCGCTGGAGAGTGCGCCGTTTACACGAACTCGGTAGGTGCGGCCAGACAGGTAGGTACTTAGCCAGCAGATTGTTTGCTGGTCGATCCCCAAACTCGGCAGTTTACTCAACAGCAGTGCGTGATTGACCCGGTCGAATGTTTTTGAGAAATCCACGTAAACCACGTCAGTTGGAGTATGATTGTCTGCCTCTGCAGTCCAGGAATCAAGGGCTGCGGGAAGATTCGTGGTGCACGAGTGAGCCCTGCGGAACCCGTGCTGTTCCGGGGCTATTAAGGACAGACTTTCTAAATGGCAGCGCAAGAAATCGTCTATGCTACTCTCCATTACTTTGGAGGCAGTGGGAAGCAGTGCTATCGGGCGATAATTAGAGGGGTTTGTCCTGTCACCACCCTTGTATATCGGCGTTATGACCCCTTGCTTCCAAGCATTCGGGTATTCGGCACTGGTGTAGGAGCGACTGTACAGTGAGGCAAGCGGCTCGGCCAGTACCGTAGCGCACTCACGTAGAAAAATGGGAGGGATCCCATCCAAACCCGGCGTTTTGTTCAGGACTTTCTCTGATGTAAACTGCACGGGATGTCTGGCAGCGTTGGGGGTAAAATTAGCGCCTTCCATTGTACTGCGTGCGAATGTGTCGAAAACGGACTCATACTGAGTCTTCAGCAATTCCGCAGCTTCTTTGTCCGACGTTGTGGTATTGCCTACGGGTCCGATCAGGCTGCCAACGGCAGCGCGCGATTTAGTGAGAGAAGCTATATGCTTAAAGGAGATCTTGGGGTTATCGGCGACGCTTTTAGCGAGAGAGAGCTGGTACGCTTTTCTGTCCTGGCGAACAGCTGCTATACAGGATTTTCGCACTCTACAGTATTGTGCTCGCGAATCAGAGTCGCCAAAAATTAAGAATCTGTCCAAGAGAGCCTTCTTCTCCCTCATCAGCCTAAGCGTAGCATGCTGAAGTTGCCTGTGGCGTTTCGGCGCATAAGCGCGCACTGTGGGGACGTGTGCCCTAATTGCGTCGTGGAAGTGGGCGGCGATGTAGTTCCAATGGTCGTCGACTGTGGGGGTTTGTGCTGCCAGGGACCAGTCGACTCGTGAGAGGAAATCTTTGATTGCGTCATAGTCCGCTCGACGAAAGTTAAGCCTGATGGGCAGTGCTTTAGCGTTGAGCGTGCCGTTCGCCACCACACAAAAACTGATAACTGCATGATCACTTGCACCAACTGGGGCGCTCAAATTAACGTTTTCAATTAGATGTCGCTCGTTGGTGAGCAGCAAGTCGAGTTTCGACAGGTTTTGACCGTCGCGCCACCGAGTGTACAGCTGTACGTGTTCGGTTAGGCCATGTTCTAGGACACTGGCAAGAAACTCAAGGCTGTGCTGACTGCGTGCTTGGCCAGAGGTAAAGTCTATCTCCGGGAATTTAAAGTCACCTGCGACGAGTACGGGGCACCCAAATCTGAAGCAGCTGCTCGGAGGGCGGCGTTCCAGCACTGCAGCCATTCTGGCGCAGCTGAGGGAGGGCGATAAACCACTCCAAGGGTGAGACCAGTGGAACCACAGCCGCGGACGCGAATCCAGTGGGATTCGGGAATAGATAGTAGTAGTAGTAGTTATGACAACTTTTGCTCTCGTTACTACGGTATTGTTTATGGTTATTTAAAATTTACTTTGTAAATATATATTGATTTACAAATGTTTATAAAATATTTGATAATTCCTTGCATCTAAAGCCGATTAATTTTTGCTTTTTATTATAGCTCTCTGTAAGTATCCTAGTAAAAGTTCACTCTAGTATTAGTTTAACCATTCTTTTTTTTTACTAATAGGTTACCATCACGTTTCTTTGTAATTTTTATTTAATTTCATCAGTATCCTCGTTGCTGCTTTATACCCAACATCGAACGTTCAACTGATACGAAAGCGCCATCTTTAAACTGTATCCCGACAGTCTGTCAATTACGGGTTACCAAGTCACGACGCCGAAAATTTGCAAAGCGCGCTAGTTGCAAAAGCGGTAGTATGGTCACACAATAGTCAAGCATAAAATCAGAATCAATGTATTGTTAAAGAGCAAACAATCTATGTTCTTTTCAGCCTTCCTACAGTAAACGCAAAAAGACCCATGCGAAGTTCCGGTCTGCATAAAGGCACCATTACGGTTTCTTGGTAGGACACAAAATGCAGGTACAAAACCGCAATACGGCAATGTCAGCTGTTTCAGCCTTTCAAAGAAAGTTTTGTGGCTAGAACATAGCTGCGCGACGAAAGGAGAGCAAACCTGATATCCGGATTGATGCATGGATCTAGGAAATATTTGTGGTTTTCTCGCGAAAAACTGTTTGAAATCGGAGAGAGCCACGCAATTGGTTGAACAGATCCACATATGTATCACTAATAGATAAGAACATTACGTGTGAGTTACATTGCCCATACGCAGATCTTGCATTTTCAATTTCCATTCCAAGTTTTTTGAAACGGGATAGTATAATAGTGGGAATTTTCATTCCGTTGCGTAGCGTTGTACCGTTAAGGGGTATGTCCGCCAGAGGTATTACAAAGTCTATAAGAACGACCTCATCACATAATGTCCAACTAGCTATTGCCTGCATTCCCCTCCAGCAGCCCCTGCCATTTCGGTTTATGTGCATTTAGAAAGGGCAAAGCTAAGAAAAGAAGTGAGCCATGCCAGCTAACTAAGGATAATACGAAGGTAATAGAAAAACAAGAAAAAGAAAAGCCTTTTCAAGACCTTTAAGAGAATTTACAATGTTTAATACGCTCATTTACACGTGGTTGGACGACCAGTTACCCAGCTGTCGTCCCAGCAAGCGCAGCCTACTGACATGTCTTTCACTAAGTTGCTTATAATCATCTGCAAGCTCGTCCTCGCTGAGGGTATCCAGAATGATAAAGGATTGTAACAGAGTATTCATTTTAATAAAGCATGGCTTGTGAGAAGTTTAGAAAACGTTTGTACACCCGAGAAAGTTGCGTAAAAGTGGGCTACCATTGGAATTGGATGACGTTCCATCGTCGTCGCTTCATTTGCTATTTTCTTCTAGTAGCCGCAAATACGACCTGACCTATTAGGCTTCAGTACAGGAACAATGGACTTAGAGTTGAAAGATTGGTGTATAAGGGAATATTTCGTACGCTTGTAAGTGCTTGAATGCTACCCCCACCTCCAGACGCATTACGAAAGGTAGACTTCTTGCCTATTAAAAGTCCGGTTGAGCCTGTGGCTTGAACTTCAACCAATCTTGGAAAACACGCAATTCCCAAGTTAAGTTTGTATTAAAACTAATGCAAAACTTCGAAGTGTATAGGTAAGTCAGGTATACTGTCCGCCTTCTGAACAGAGCATAATATTTCCAGCGTGCGTAGGAACCAGTTTCACGAATGTAGGTTCAACCTGTCGTTGTCAGAGGTAGGCCCACTGTTTTGTCCCCATGAGGTACGTTTACTTTGCGTACGCCCATACCAAAGGGTTTCTCTCCCAATAAAAGATTGTAATCAAGATTGAGTCGAAATAAGAACCAGGCCGGGAAGCTTACTGTCGTTGATCAATGTGACTGAAGCCCCGTACCGAGCTTCAGACGTACTAGCTGGCTGTTACTGCTTAAAACAACACTGTGCGAAGGTCTTCCAAGCGCG